GAGCGGCCGCCCGATGACAGCCAGGTGATCGTGTCAGGGAGAGGGAGCCATGGCTTCGTTTAGCGGGGGTCGTGACGGCGCCCCCCCTCAGTCCTGCGCCCGGGGCAAGTGACCCCCCCCGCACCCCCGGTTGTTACGCCACTGCGGGGAAATGTCTGCCGAATACAGGGGGAAATGCATATAAAATAGCAACAAACTCAAGTGAATTTGATAAGCCTGAGTGAGCCCAACATTGAGCATATGCCCCAAACAATGTACCCCAAACAGTTATATAAAAAAGCCATATAACCTGCACAAAAACAATATAATAGATAATAAAACATATAAAATATATAAATACATATAACAGTATATCAGAAATACACATATAGACTTCAGCTGTGCAGGCCATCAACCTGTCTCCTCTGTGTAACCACTGATAATTTAATGTAATTAACATGAAAAAACATGGCGACAGCTTGCACATTTTGTTGCCTTTGTGGTCTTGTTTATTACTGTTTAAGTTGCCCACAACAACCGCATTCCAGCTGTCAGTTTTCTAGTTGCTTTTCCTTTCTTCCTAGTTATAAATGTTCGGCTCATCGTTCATTTTTTTTTCTAATCCAAAATCTGTTTGCAACATTAAGAAAACAGTATAGTATGACAACATAACATACAATGCTGAGAAGGCACATTTGTAGCATCAACCTAATACAATTGTATAGACTATAGACTCAGTTCAACATCTACATCTGGCCTACAAACGTATAAGGGTACATATATGGGTGCATTCTATTGGGATCAAAAACAATTGCACATTTTTTTATCACGTGCCACACTGGCTTTTCTCACATACGGGACTTTAATTTTTTGACAAACTAATTACAATAATAAAATCCTTATAAAGATCAGCAGAGCCACTGAAATCCTCTCTATACCTCATACAGAAACCTTTAGCTCTCCTGGTGCTTATTTGTCATTAAATTGTACAGTAGTTAATATTTTGTAATCCTTATAAGCTTAGTGGTAGCTCAGATCCGATAAGAGAACGAAGAATGGATGCAAGTAGATTTTGTGAAGTTTTTAATGAGAGTACACAGATAATAAATACGCACAGCAAGCAGTTGTGGTTCCCCCTTCGACACCCACTATAGTTCCCCCTTGGTAATGGCAGCATGATGATCTTGTTTAAATACAGAACAGAGATTTTATTTAGTATATTACGAATATCTTTTGGATTTGCATTGATTCTTAGATATATAGACAGATTATAATGAAAGGAATAGGAATTATGCAATATAGAAAGGATTCTACAATGTGTTTTAAGCTATATGATTATTTTATTGCACTGAGCTTAGGATAGTATTGTGACATGGATCAATTAACTGTATCTGCTAACATTGTTTTTTATAGCTTGTCATAGTCAGGGTCTCACGGAATGCAAGAATGGACAGTGTATCCCTAGTGCCTTCCGCTGTGATGGAGATAATGACTGTAAAGATGGCAGTGATGAAGAGAATTGCACTGAGCACAAGGGTAAGGAGGATACAATATCACTTTATTTAATTCTCTATTTTTCTTTTTTTTTTTATCTCTCGTGGCAAATGCATTAAATGCTTCTTTAACCTAAACTCATAGTGTTGCCATGGTTACCTGACAATGGCCCCTGTTTACTTAGAGTGTTATATCACTTGTAGCAAAATGTAAAACTCAAAAAAGTACATGATCTACTTTTGGGGCAAGGTCAAAAGTTTAGGTTGCAATAGGTTTCAATGGAAGCACCTAAAAATAGTGTGAAAAACATGTGTTTTCTTGCCTAGTAAATAGCTTTTCATTAGCAAAAAATAATAATTAAAAAAAGCTCAAGCCTGAAACACGCACAAAAATGCCTGTACATATGCTCCAAAAAACTCTCGAAAAAAAACCAACCAAAGATGGCCAGCTCAAGTGTAAATTGGGCCCTACTGGGTTCTTGAAGCAGTATTTACCTCCTGATGACCTAAATCTTCTTCCTGTGGTCACCATGTGCACAGTAAAAAGCCATAGACTTCTATGAGTCCCCCTCCTTAGCATCTCCTGCATTAACCCCC